TGAAAATAAGATCTGATCTATATATATAAAAATGGAGACAAAAAATGTTACTAATGGCATCACAATAGAACGGCTGGGCCGTTTTGGCTCAAATTTTTTTCAGTTGTTTATAATTGCCAGAAGAAAGTTATTAAATAAGAACATTTTGGGAAGTCCTTTCGGGAAAGTCGCTAGCGGCTCAACAGATGTACACACTGTTGTATGTACAATTCTGAAACACCCTACAAAGATCATAGCTGCGTTGAGATTGTGTATCAATGAAATCGGTAAAAAAAATATTTAAACAAAAAAATTAAGTTAACGAAGCATTACCAAAGTGAGCTTAAACAATTGGAAATAATGCCTGCTGTTGGACGATCAAGTCTTGGGCGTCGTTCAAGCAATGCAATACTTATTGCGAATTTCCGTAATAGTCGGACACAAGAGAAACGTACAGAAATAAATGCATTCGCGCTGCACATAGACCACCTCAAGCCCGACAAAATAATAGAGGAAGACGAGCCGCAAATGAAAACTTGAATCGCGCTGCATTCGCATACAATCCTGAAACATCCTACAAGGATCTTACCTGCGTTGTTATTGGTTCATTGTCTGTTGTATGTCAGCATTGCAATGCACTGAAGTTTCGGTTGGAAACCCCCGGCTTATGCTGTGCAGGTGGCAAAATTAAATTGCCCGTTTTGGCTCATCCACCAGAGCCATTGTATTCGCTACTATATGGAAATTCAGCCCAATCAAACAGTTTCCTAAAGCTTGCACAAAAATATAACGGATGCTTTCCAATTACGTCATTTGGAGTGGAGGTTTTTCATCAATCAGGCTACAATCCAAGTTATAAGGTAATGGCGTCTCTTTATTATCAAAATGAACAACTCACATTTTTTCGAAATTGCACCCCAACATTCAGATTCAAGGGCAAATTCACCACCGAGTGGGCGCTTTGTTACCACCTCAAAACAAAGATCATAAATTCCTTCAGATCTATTTCATTGGTGATTCGGGAGTTGAACTAAATCACCGCTGAGCAATTTTTATTGCAACTAAACGTGAAATTATCGAACAATTGCAAAATCTTCTCCATGATTATAATGAATTAATCAGATTGTTCAAAACCGCATTGGATATCATGCATTATGACGAACACAAAATCATTATCAGCGCTGACAAAAGACCCAATGGTAGCCATGCAAGACAATTTAATGCTCCCACTATCAATGAAGTCGCAGTGGTGATTGTTGGCGGGAATGTGGAATCACGCGATATTGTTCTTAAGCGTCGGGATAACGGCCAATTGCAGCGAGTTTATGAGACTCATCGGTCATATGATGCTTTTCAATACCCGTTGATGTTCTGTCGTGCAGAAGATGGGTATCACTTCAACATAAAGATGGTCAATCCAACGACAGGTTTGTTTACAAGTCATCACTTCTTTTTGATTCTACAACTAAGTTTGAATTCAAATTTTAGGAGAAGAAACGAATAAGAAGGTCAGCTCTATGAATTTTTATGCGTATCGATTGATGATATTTCAACAGTACTGTTTCGACATGTACTTCAAAGTAGAAACGGAACGTCTCAATTTCATTTGTTTTAATCAGCCGAAGTTGGGGCGAGATAAAGTTCGCCAGGTCCTCTAGTAATTCTATAAAAAATCATTTTTATGTGTGGTATACCTTATTATGGACAATATCGTTTGCTGAACATTATATACGAGTAAAAAAGCTGCCGTACGAATTAATAGTGGTCGGGGCTCGTATAGCGAGTCTCTTGCCGTATCCAGAGCAAAAGTGGGCAAGACTTTATTGAAGTAGAGGGACAACCTGGTCAAGAAGCTTGTATAGGAAATGCAAGTGAAAGTGTGGTTGGGCCTACATTCTCAATATATACTTATTGATTTGCACAAACATTTTGAATTTAAAGATTTTTATTTTAATTGTTTGTTAATATCTTCCTAATGATGCAGAGTCCTCCTCCATGTTTTTTTTCTTTTCTACCAGACAATTTTTTCTCAGGAATGGACAAAGACATTCTGCGTCCAATCCCCTAGAAGTGCCCCCAACGACAGCTCTTCTTATCCACACATTGTGTGATACACAAATCTGTTTTCGGGCATATTTGAAATCAGATTAAATTATTTGAATTTTCAATCGACAGCTGCTTAATGTTTTTCGATTTGGTGGAACTTGTTCAATTATCCGAATATTGGGATTTTAAAAAAAAGTAAAGTTCGTGTTCCCACAGAGCTGCGTTATAGGGTCTTCCCACACACCGTCAAAGCGCATTCACCATCCGTTGAACTAACTGCCCACAAGGACATTTTAATGCCATATTTATTAATATTTTTAATATATTTTTTGAATATTTGCTTACAAACAGCTGTCCAGTGTGACCAAAGAAAATCCTTAACCGCCATAAAAAGTACATTTTCATGGCATTTCAGGATTTTCCTTAATTTTTTTTGGTCACACTAGCTCGGTAGCGAAATAAACAGCGATTCCGCTGTCTAATTTAGACAGCGGGTTTTTCTCGTCAGAGTACTAGGCTTAAATATTAAATATTAAATATTTTCAAGAATTTTTTGTGGACAAAGGAAAAGACATAGAAAGTTCAAACTTGTCACATATATTTATCATAGTTTAAAGATGATTTAGCAAAATTTTCAGAGCATGTCCCGAAGCAGGACACAGGGCGACGTAAGCCCATGCCCAAAAAAAGAACCCCTCTGGCGACCGTCCTCCAGGACTTAAAAATCGACTGAAACAAATAATTATCTTTGAATTCTTTTACGTTTTCATGAGCCACAGCTGATCGATCAGCTGTTCGGATGGCGGATGCGTTTTAACGCAGTTCTGTGGCAACACGACTTTCACTTTTTTTTAAAATCCCAACCGTTCCTCACAAATGCGCTGTGTGGGAAGACAGTATTAAAGTGCATCCGCATCCGATCGATCCGCTGATCGATCAGCTGTGGCTCATAAAAACGTAAACAATGGCTGTCGAATTGGCAGTTGCAAAATTGAAATGGAGCATTTACCAACTATTTTGGCTGTTGTACAACCGCAAAAGCACAGATTGCGTCAGAATTTATCCGCACTAAATTTAAATGAATTAAATGACGATGAATTTTAGTTTTTCTAATGATTTTTCTCTAACTAAGTGTTATGGCCTCTCTAAAAAAATCCGGATATAGATAGGCGGTACCAATCGATAGATCGCGTGGCGGTCTATGCGATCTATCGGATCAGGGATGCCACCCAGTTCCGAAGAGAGGAGCTCCACCTTCCAGGGAATAGCCCAGTCGGACTTTTCCCTAAGAAAGGAGTACTATTTTCTCATAGAAACGGGAGGAGGGAGTCCTACCGTTTTCTGTAAAAGTCTAATTCGCTTTTATACATGGGTGGGCGGGGTAATTCGTGTATTTTGGCATCCGCCGTCGCTGCTCGGGTGAGGAAGAAATTCTGGCCTTTTGTATATGTCTTATACATATGTATTTGAGTGTACCCATTACTCGCTCACCGCTGTTCCCAAATAAACTTGTTATCAGTTACCTCCTCTACATTTATTCGTTGATCTGGTATTTTATTCGGAACTTTATTTTTATTAGACTCTGTTGATACCCGTATTTGATCATGTTATTGTCGGCGAAATAAGAAGCTAATCCTATAAATTGCATAATTGAGACACAGACTGTGAAGGCGGTAACTTTATCAATGCTTTTATTTTACGTGGGTTCGGTCTAATTTCTCCGTTACTAGATTCGAACCCAAGATATTTTATACGATTCTTAAGAAAGGATCACTTAAAATTTAACGAAAACCTCGCTTTACTTAATGCCTCTAGTACAATATGCAATCGTTCTATCGCTTCTTATTTGGTTTCGAGTATACCCGATACATGGTCAATATAAACGATAGCATATGTGTGTACCACAGTACCCAATGCTCTTTTCAACATTTATTTTACATAATCCTAGCTGAGTGCTATGAATTCAATAATTACTTGTGCCATTTATTTTTACATTATCAATTTATTTTCCAATTTATTTAACCCGGAAAATTCGGCACCCGAGTCAAAGCGAAATGGAATAGGTTCCTGAGATGGCTTTTTTATACCGGACGGAGTAGCCACCGAAAAAGCCAAGCTTAGGCATTCTCGGGTATTTGTAGCTCTGTAGCTTAGCAGGTGTCGCCGGCACGCTGGAGAGAGAGAGAGAGAGAGAGAGAGAGAGACAGAGAGAGAGAGAGAGAGAGAGAGAGAGAGAGAGAGAGAGAGAGAGAGAAAGAGATAGCCAGACATTGTCTAGGTTTGTCGTTTAGAAAGATAGAAAGGGTGAAAGAGCAAAAGGAGAAGTGGCGTGATGCCGCATTCAATTTGAGACTGCGCAGGCGAACACAACTTGCAAGCAGTAAACATAAACACTGTTTTCTTCAACACATACATAGATATGTATCTCCTGTTAGTTTTCCTTTTTATTTGACCAAAATGAGTCGATTTGCAATAATCCAATTGCAAATTGCAAGGGTATACAAACTTCCACCTGCCGAAGCTAGCTTTCCCTTCTTTATAACATAAGTACGATTTGTTTCCGAAACAAAGTAAAAAATATACTTCAAAGTTTGTGCTTTTAATTATAGGGCAATTGTGTTTTCCAGGGGCACGTAAGAAAGTCTTGAAAAATATCTTATTACAAAATGTTAGAATCCAGCCCAATGTAAAGACAACACGTTTGATTTTATATTCTTGTTGATTTAATATATTCTTTCGTAGCTCGTCTTATCTGTTTGAAGATAATTTTAAAATGAGCAGAAAACTAGAGAGGGTAAGCTCAAGTAGATATATCGGAGCGCAAATATGAGAGAGTGCAATCATGCGATTATTCATCGCACAAGCTGTGTTTATTTTCATTCCTCATTTAATAGGGATATTCTTACACAAACTTTACAAACTTCGGAATTTCTTTCGTGCTCTTATTTTTATTTTTTTTCTCCTTTTTTTTTTAGATAAACGAAATGCAACAACATCAAATATGCAAAAATCGAAGTCATTGTCGAATGTTGGACAATTTGTAACTACAAAACTATTGCGCAGCCGTTCAAAAAGTCAAAATACACACAATGTTCAGGAAGACTTTGTACCCATTCATTCTTTAAAATGGTATCCTGCGGTAAGGGAATATATTACATATATATGTAACATAACATAACATATTTTTGGGAAATCAACATATTCAAACCCATTTTTTTCCAGGAAAATTTTCTATGGATTGCCGAAAATGGCGAAAGGTTTCAAATTGAAGATGTGTTATTAATAAAGTTATCGAAATTCGAAATGGATTTTCTAAATGAAATTATTTTAGAAAAAATAAAAGAATTAAATATTGGAAATATTACAGGTACGTTTAATATAATTATATATAAGTGTGCTTCAACATTCACATATTTTGTTTTGTGCTTAAGTATTTTTCTTTGTTATTTTTTTTTTTTTAGCAAAATAGTTAATACTGTTAAAATGTCTTTAATTTTTTGAATTTGTAAAGGCTGAAAATATTTGACACAAAACGATAAGTATTTAAAACCTTTGCAGGAATTTATAATTTAAGTCAAAGGTTTGCAACGCAGTGAAGGAGACATTTTTGACCCTATAATAATAATATATGTATATATATATATAAATATATATATCTATTTGTTTATACAGGGTGCGCCATCTTTTATGTCGGTATGTAAACATTGAATATCTTTGAAAATAGACAACCGATTTTCAAGTATGAGATATTTTTATGTAATTGATTCTTACGATTTTCTACAGACTAATTTTTGAAAACAATATCAATAAAGTGGCCGATTTTATTGGACACACAAAATGTGCCCTTTTTTCTGCATTTCCATTACTTTTTCTGGCAGCTCAGGTATAGCGATGATTTCTGCATGAATATTAGCCATAATCTCGTCAATGGCTTGATGCTTGCTGGCGTAAACTTCGCTTTACAAATATCCCCACAAAAAGAAGTCCTGAGGTGTGAAATCTCGAAATCCGATCAGTTCGGCCTTTTCAGTTTAGCCTTTTTTGAGTTTTTTGAGTCAACACAACTGAACGACTATTTTCAATGTAAAGCGTCACTATTTCAGCGAGTTCTTTCGAAGTGAAGCGATTCATGATTAATTCTGCTGAAGTGAGCTTTTCTACACTGGTCTACTCAAGTTAATTGGTTTACTAATGACAAAGTTATTCGATATTTAAATACCGACAAAAAAGATGGCGAACCCTGTATATAAATATATGTTTTTTATTTTTATCTGCATCAACAGCCGAGTCGATCTAGCCATCCCCGTCTGTTCGTTTCTACATAAACTAGTCCCTCAGGTTTAAAGCTATCTGAATAAAACTTTGCATATAGTCTTCTGAATACTCTAACTGCTATATAAGTCACTGCTATATAAGTCGGGACGGATCGGACGACTATATTATATAGCCGCTATATAAATGATCGATAGATGTAGAGAAAAATATAGATTAAAACATTTTTATACCCTTGCAGGGTGTTATAATTTCAGTCAGAGAGTTGCAACGCAGTGAAGGAGACCTTACCGACCCTATAAAGCATATGGGAATTTCCACAGAAAGGTCCACCGCGGCCAAAACACTAAAACTTCTCTAAAATGTTTTTATTCCAACATAGTAACATTAGGAAAAGGCCAATTGATTAAATTTGAAGGGCTTTATCATATTCTAAAACAAATTTCGAAATATTCAAATGCATATTCGCGCAAACACGATTTTTCATTATTTTGATGAAAAACATCATAAAAATGGGCCTGTTTTCTTTTGATAATTACATCCAAACCGAGGCTCTAACTGTTGACTGTTGTTTACTAACATCACTAGAAGAATGCAAAAAGTCGTAATAAAATGGATATATGCTCTTCCAATTTACTTATAATAGTAAACATTACATGCAAAGTATGATGATAAAAAATGTCGCGTGCGAATCTGATTACAATTAAATAAAAATTAAACTACGCTATATTTCTGATTGTAAATTAAAGCATATGAAAGTGACATTATAGCATCACATTTTAAAATTTGTTTCATTAAAATAGTCCCTGCCGTTTCGCTGAAATCAGTGTTTAAACAGCTCGCCGCGAAAGTGACTTCTGTTTTTGTCGCGTGCGAATCCTTCAGTTTTTTTAATTTTCTTAAAATTGAGCAAACACTCAAAATCAACATTTGCACCAATTATAGTCCTAGGCAAGAGCTATAAGTTAACATTTATAAAAAAAAAATAGAAATGAAATGTACCATTTTTTTTTTTGCTTTGAATGCGTACGAATGTCGCGTGCGACATTATGGAAATGCCCATATATTGTAACGAAAGCCGCCCAAAAGAGCTTTCGATCCTCGAGCCAATACGGCAACGCGAGAAGCTGCGCGATAATGAGTTTTGACGGCACGGATCTCAAAACGAGCTAAGCTGCGCTATTCCGATAACTTGACAGCCAGGATGTCTGGTCTTTCTCTTATTCTCTTGTTCTTAAGCCCGATTTCCGTAAGCAACACGCCGATTTCGCGAAAATAAAGAAAAGTTAAGGAAATAACCCAAAATACGTGGGTGATCATTGGGTGGCTTAGACGGGGAAGTTGGTACTGGAGAGTTCTTGGCAGCCACACCTAATAAACAAAAGTTTCGCTCGGCTTTCCGTAGTGAACTCGGCCGGCAGCTTCTGCGCGCGGCCGAAATTCGTTACATTGGTGTCAGGTGTGGGGTCCCTATTGTTTGCGAAAACCATGACCTACGAAAATGCCTAAGAATTCCGCTCGCCACCGCCGTCAAGCCTCCCCTGAAGGGCATAACCACAAAGAACCGCGGGATAATGCCGCCACGCTGGACGCCGTAGATCGAGCCGTCGACCGCTCCTTCCGGCTAATCGAGCGAAAAGTGGAGGCCCTGGATCAGTCGTTCAACCTTAAGCTGGAGCAAAAGTTCGAGCAGATGTGGGCGACTTTCGAGAGGACTATGCTGGGCGACCCCTCCGGAAACAACGGAGCGCAGCCCGCGCGCAGTCGCGACTGCGTGACACAAGCTGGGGGCGACTTGCATTCCGCCAGCACCCCGCGCTTCGCGGAGGCAGCTAACTCCGACTATGCACCGGCGCTGCAAATGTATTCCCGGAGGATGGACACTGGACCTGGGGCAGCGCCAACTACTGCGCCGCCACCAGCGTGCGACCTAACCTCACATTGGGGAATTCTTGAGGTGTCGGACGCGGAACTGCCGCCCACCTTCGACGGCACCCGTCCCTGGCCGGAGTTTCAGCGTCTCCTGGACGACATGGCCGAGGAGTACCATTGGTCAGAAAGGAAGAAGTGCAGGAAATAGTACACGAGTCTTCAGGGGCGTGCCCAGCGTTTTCACGCCACCCTCCCCGAAGCCATCCTCAACTCGTATGAGTCCATAGCGGCTGCTATGCGCGAGTATTTCACGGTCAGTAAGCATGCCGGCTATCACGCCTTTCACAATCGCATGCAGGGACTCCGAGAGTCGTTCGAGGACTTTGCCATGGAGCTGGAACACCTGGGCAGATGCGTGTTAGGCGAGTTGCCGCCTGCGACTTACAACAGCATCATCGTGCAGCGCTTCATCGACGGGATCCGAGAGACCGGATATCAAGTCCCCATCATCAACAGCAATCCGCGTTCGCTGACAGATGCCCTCGATATGGCCTGCCGGATCGAAGCCCAGTGTCGACGACGCCCAGCCGCCGCCTTGATGACCGTCGCTGCCATGGACCCAGACGATCCCGTCGGCGCACCCCGGAGAGTAAACCGAGGCTCCCCCCAAAATAATGCGTCTGTCCTGGACCCCTTCCGGAATTCCGTGTCGTCCTCGGAAAACTAGCTGCCGTCAACCTTGAGGAGAGTGCCCAGCAGTCACGGGACATCGAGATCGCCGCAGCCCCGAACGCCTAGCAGCACCTCGAAGCGAAGCCGCCGCCCACCGAGCAACCAGACGCCCGACAGAGTCTTCTTCCCAGTAGAGTCGAAGCCGTCCTGGCCGCCTTGTTCTCAGAGCCGTCGCCCGAAGAAAGTGCGACCCCAACTGCCGCCGCCGTCGAGTCTTACGGGACCACACTGCCGCAACATGCAGAAGGAGAAGAATCGGACGTGCGCCCAGTGGACTCCGCCTTGAACCGTTCATGTCAACCGCCTGGCACCAGACCGGGACCCGAACCCACCAATACTCGGCCAGGGGGCTCGAGTCTGAGGAGGGGGTAATGTAACGAAAGCCATCCAAAAGAGCTTTTGATCCTCGAGCCAGTAAAGCAACGCGAGAAGCTGCGCGATAATGAGTTTTGACGGCACGGATCTCAAAACGAGCTAAGCTGCGCTATTTCGATAACTTGACAGCCAGGATGTCTGGTCTTTCTCTTATTCTCTAGTTCTTAAGCCCGATTTCCGTAAGCAACACGCCGATTTCGCGAAAATAAAGAAAAGTTAAGGAAATAACCCAAAATACGCGGGTGATAATTGGGTACTTAGACGGTAGACGGTGGGTAGAAGTTGGCACTGGAGAGTTCTTGGCAGCCACACCTAATAAACAAAAGTTCCGCTCGGCTTTCCGTAGTGAACTCGGCCGGCTCCTCTTACGCGCGGCCGAGATTCGTTACAATATATTCTTGATCAGCATCAACAGCCGAGTCGATCTAGCCATGTAGATCTGTCCGTCTGTCCTTTTCTACGCAAACTAGTCCGTCAGTTTTAAAGCTATCTGAATGAAACTTTGCATATAGTCTTCTATATACTCTCACTGCTATATATATCATATAGCTACCATGCAAATGTTCGATAAATTTTTAGAAAAAAAATTATAACTTGGTTCAATATTTTTGAGATATACAGGCCTGTTCTAGTTTCCACTCGGAAGTGAATTTGATAACATTTGCGGATTTCCCTTCAACATAAGCGAATTTCCCTTGGTGATTTAAGGACATTTTTTTTTAATTTCCCTTAAATTCCCAAACAAAATCAGCTGGTCGCTTTCAACAAAAGAGTTTGCCTTGTCTAAGATTTGCTAAAAGGGGCTCATTAAATTTTGGTCCGCTGTAGTCTCCAACTCATAGATAGTAATGAAGCACTAATTTAATTAATAAAATCGAAGGAATAAGCATTTACGGCTAAAAATAAACATTTTGAAATATTTGTAATCGCAATCAGCTGTTCTGGTTGCAAAATGCTCCAGAATAGAGTTGCCAAGGGGTTTAGAAAAAATTCCCTTCGTATAACATTTTGTTCAGTTTGTAGATTGAATTGGCTGGTATTTGAAACAAAAACACTTTTTCATATACTTTACGCTAATATCAGATCTTTTAATTGTAAAACAACATAAAAAGTAATTGTTCAAAATTAATCTTAAATATATGCCTTTATTTTTGAAACGCTGACACCCTTAAATGGTCCCTCTCAAATACGACACAGCGGCGGCTGATTTGCAATAATGTTGAAGCTTAGAGTCGAACCGATTTTAAGTACTTTAGTATTAGCTAATTCAATTACGCAATAATGTTCCCAAAACCTCTAGGATTAAATTACAATTAACATTTGTCATATACATAATCGCATTGTATTTTAAAATAATTAATTTCTGATTTTGCGGATTTGAATTCGCCGGCCCAATGGCACACGGAAAGTTTCCGAATGTTTCGCCTGCAAATTAACAGAGACTTAACAGAGGGAAATACGAATCCGTACGAATTTTTCGGAAGTGGAAACAAGAACAGGTCAGGGAAATCCGAGTCCGTATAAATTTTGCGGAAGTGGAAACTAGAACTGGCCTGATAGCCATAGCTGTCATAGGAACGATCGGGAAATTAATAGACAAAAAAATAAAGCTTCGTTGTTTTTCAAAGTATTTTCATCTACACTGAGATACGAGCTTATTTTATTATTATTATTATTTCAGAATTTTGGTATAAATTTTATGAAAATCGGATAACTATATCATATAGCTGCCATAGAAGCGATCGGTAGATGTAGAGAAAATGTAAAGCTGGGAATGTAAAACTCTAACTGTCAAACTGTAAACATAAACAGGCCTGCTCCGGTAATTGTACATTTTTTCGTTTTGGGCGAAAACGAACCGTTTTCGTTTTTAGCTGCTCCGGTTTTCGGCAAATTTTTGCTATCGGAATGTTTCGTTTTCTCATCGTTTCTCACTGCTCTAGCAGCTAACTTGTGCTTTTGGTAATAAGCAAACAACATAAAGAACTGCCTTTTATATTTACAATTGCCGCTTAGGTTAAGCAAATCTAGGCATCTACAATGCTGACACACTTTTCACAGTTTTAATTCCGGTGGTCTCAATTAATTATTTGGTTAATTTTGACAATTTAAGTAATTAAATTAAATAGTATTATTTATAAACAACCATCTTGGAGCTCCTTTAAAGTTGTTAATGTATTCATTTATATTTTATAAGTATTTTTACTGTCTGTTTCGTTCCACCAACAATATGGACTTATCGACCTATCGCCAAAACGAGAATAAACTATTTTTTTCCTTTTGAAAATAAGATCTGATCTATATATATAAAAATGGAGACAAAAAATGTTACTAATGGCATCACAATAGAACGGCTGGGCCGTTTTGGCTCAAATTTTTTTCAGTTGTTTATAATTGCCAGAAGAAAGTTATTAAATAAGAACATTTTGGGAAGTCCTTTCGGGAAAGTCGCTAGCGGCTCAACAGATGTACACACTGTTGTATGTACAATTCTGAAACACCCTACAAAGATCATAGCTGCGTTGAGATTGTGTATCAATGAAATCGGTAAAAAAAATATTTAAACAAAAAAAATTAAGTTAACGAAGCATTACCAAAGTGAGCTTAAACAATTGGAAATAATGCCTGCTGTTGGACGATCAAGTCTTGGGCGTCGTTCAAGCAATGCAATACTTATTGCGAATTTCCGTAATAGTCGGACACAAGAGAAACGTACAGAAATAAATGCATTCGCGCTGCACATAGACCACCTCAAGCCCGACAAAATAATAGAGGAAGACGAGCCGCAAATGAAAACTTGAATCGCGCTGCATTCGCATACAATCCTGAAACATCCTACAAGGATCTTACCTGCGTTGTTATTGGTTCATTGTCTGTTGTATGTCAGCATTGCAATGCACTGAAGTTTCGGTTGGAAACCCCCGGCTTATGCTGTGCAGGTGGCAAAATTAAATTGCCCGTTTTGGCTCATCCACCAGAGCCATTGTATTCGCTACTATATGGAAATTCAGCCCAATCAAACAGTTTCCTAAAGCTTGCACAAAAATATAACGGATGCTTTCCAATTACGTCATTTGGAGTCGAGGTTTTTCATCAATCAGGCTACAATCCAAGTTATAAGGTAATGGCGTCTCTTTATTATCAAAATGAACAACTCACATTTTTTCGAAATTGCATTCCAACATTCAGATTCAAAGGCAAATTTACCACCGAGCGGGCGCTTTGTTATAACCACAAAACAAAGATCTCAAATTCCTTCAGATCTATTTCATTGGTAATTCACCGCTACTAAACGTGAAATTATGGAACAAGTGCAAAATCTTCTCCATGAGCATAATGAATTGGTCAGATTGTTCAACGAGAATAAACTATTTTTTTCCTTTTGAAAATAAGATCTGATCTATATATATAAAAATGGAGACAAAAAATGTTACTAATGGCATCACAAGAGAACGGCTGGGCCGTTTTGGCTCAAATTTTGTTCAGTTGTTTGTAATTGCCAGAAGAAAGTTATTAAATAAGAACATTTTGGGAAGTCCTTTCGGGAAAGTCGCTAGCGGCTCAACAGATGTATACACTGTTGTATGTACAATTCTGAAACACCCTACAAAGATCATAGCTGCGTTGAGATTGTGTATCAATGAAATCGGTAAAAAAAATATTTAAACAAAAAAAATTAAGTTAACGAAGCATTACCAAAGTGAGCTTAAACAATTGGAAATAATGCCTGCTGTTAGACGATCAAGTCTTGGGCGTCGTTCAAGCAATGCAATACTTATTGCGAATTTCCGTAATAGTCGGACACAAGAGAAACGTACAGAAATAAATGCATTCGCGCTGCACATAGACCACCTCAAGCCCGACAAAATAATAGAGGAAGACGAGCCGCAAATGAAAACTTGAATCGCGCTGCATTCGCATACAATCCTGAAACATCCTACAAGGATCTTACCTGCGTTGTTATTGGTTCATTGTCTGTTGTATGTCAGCATTGCAATGCACTGAAGTTTCGGTTGGAAACCCCCGGCTTATGCTGTGCAAGGTGGCAAAATTAAATTGCCCGTTTTGGCTCATCCACCAGAGCCATTGTATTCACTACTA